GGCATAGCATATAGGAAAAAGATACAGAAAGCGTGTAAAACATAAATGTATTTTGCGAACGCAATCATGTTCTGCCTAGGAAAAACTGCATTGTATTTATGGCAACAATTGTGGAACTATTGTACGCTTGGAAAACTGAGAAGGTATGTTTGTTGGTATGTACTCAATAGCAAAATGGTGAAGAGGAAAGTCAAATCAATACCCTTCATATTCTCGAGTGTAGTAATTTTGAGCTGCCTGCTCAGCTGCCTTCTTTGCTTGCTCCTTGTCACCTCCCCAGTTATGCTGCTCAAGCAACTTCACGACCTAAGATGTCAGACATAGTGGTATTGTCATTAGATTCTGATTGGCACTATTACTGATATTATACTAACAACATACCTCGGCACTAGCAATAGCGGCAATAGCCTCCTTTGCGTGCGGGTGGGCAATGGGCTTTCCTTCATTTTGCTGATGGCGTGCATATGCACGGACGGCCTTTATAGATACCATTAGTATTATTGAATGGTAAGCAGTCGAATATCATAGTACTATACCTCAAATGCAGCGGCACCAGCGATGATTTCATGCGACAGATGAGCTTTATTCTCCTTGTAAACCTCTCGATGTGCCTCATGGAGGTCCTCTGGACGAGGTACTCCCCAGCTATTACCGGGTTGTTGATAGCCAGGTTGTTGGTAGCCCGGTGGCGGAGCATAACCTCCCATTGTTTGTTGCATAGGATTGCTGGCCATACCGTATTGTCCACCAGCGTTGCCAAAAGGTTCTACAACCCACTGCTGATTGGCATTGTTCTGATGCTTGCGTTCATAAAGGATAATTTGGGATCCTTCTTTGCTAATACCGCCCTACGGAATAGAAAACAATCTTCAGATTACAGGCGTGGACCATCAGGTGAGAAAGTTACGGTACTGAACCTACCCGAATATCGAGAACCAGTCTTGGATCTGCAAGTACATGAATAAAGCCGTCATGGTAACCCCATTTTTGGTTGTGCGCCCTATAAACGTGCACATGTTAAACCTCTGTGATTTGCAGTATGAAGATCGCGGTGACTTTCATCATCATCTTACAGAGTCATTTTACGGGCATATTGAATGATGGGTTTGTCTCTAGTCAGCTCTCCACCGCGGATGTCAAGAACTAATATGTACGAGAAAGTGAATCTTAGCAAGGGTTGATAGTATGAAGATAGCACGGGGATGGGTTAAGTTGCTGTCTTTTCCATACCAAGTCCTGATTTCTTGTTTATGAGGAAGCCATCATCATATGACCAGAGCTAAATGCAGTTCTAGGCGTAAGGCTGATGCGCTTGGCATACCGAAGGCCACTTTTTCAAACGCAACCTACCTGGTTAGAAGCATCGTTATATTTCTGTATAAAACCGAGATTTCATTAATGATGTCCAACAAGTATGATATGCTATTAGACCGTGTTAAATACCTGGGGATACACGATAATTTGAGTATCGTTCTGCGGTTGATCAAAAGATGGAGTTAGCCAGTCGCGTCTTTTGTCACTTGCTCAGTTCTGCCAGTGTGCACTTACCGACATGCCACCGTCGAACACGTCAAGTACAAAGCCATTCTGGCGGCTCTTAATGTAGAAGTAACCTTGAGGGAAGTTGGACGACATTTCGCAATGAGAAAATAAGAAAGCAAAGTGCAGTAATGAGGTACGCCCAGCGTGCTAAATTTATTCAAAGCGGCGATTTTATATACAATGCAGTTCCGGCTCGGAATTGGTACAGCCGACTCTTGAAAAACTAGCTCCATAAACTTGACACCCCCCCACTTTTGGGTGCTTGGCCCGGATTGGACTGCATTTGAAGTTCTTGCGTTTCTTTATCGTCTAGACTTAATAACTTGCTTAAAATAGGCACCATTGTCTACTCGGAAAACAATACATTAGCTCATATGCAAAGGCAACAAGGAGGTCACGGTATTTATGCTTCACCTGTTTGTTTTCGCTTTTCAGATACTTGAAAAACACGTTCTTGAGGTATTCGATGTTGAGGTTTTGTCGGCGGTCGAACGCATCCATTTTTCTACGGTCATTTTAGAACCTTCTCAAAACTCGATACACACATCATGTTATGTTTTACCTTATTTCCTCTTTTAGTGTCTGACAAAATATTCTAGGTATTAACTTCAAATGGTACAGTGAAGAAAAATCCAGAATCACACATACCTTCTCTTGAGCACGTAATGTCATAACAACATTTTCACTGTCATTCAACATTTCAGCAAGGTACTTCAACTGTTGCTGGTATTCCTTTTCTTTCATTAGAGAGCTATTGTTGCTTGGGATTTGTTCTCCTGCAGGGGACACGCCTCCTGATGTTTCGCTACCTCCAAACAGCTGTGTTGGCGATAACAAATTCGACAAGGAGGCTAAAAAATACCATTAAAATGAGAAATTGAATACAAACAAATTTTCTTTTCCCTCACCATAAACACTTCCTGTGGTAGGTGATGATGTGTGAGTTGGATTCGGGCTAAGGGGTCCGACCGAGCGTTGGTCAGTTGTGTTAGGGTCCATCTCAATACTGTCTTGACTTTCGAACACTGGTGCCTTCTGTATTTCTTTAAGTGCACCCTCAAGACTCTTCACTTCTGCCTTTAAACACGTTATTTCGTCGTTTAGGTTTGTGATGGTAGCCTTCAATTGATCACTTTCTTCCTTCTTTTCTCCATCAATGTCATTGGCATGTTCTGGAATATGATCGGGTTCGGATTTGACAGCTTGCAGGTTTACACACTGAGCCTGTAGATCCTCCAATTCTGAAAGACGAGATTAGCATATTTACATATTGCCTCTCATTTTAATGGAATAGAATGAAATAGGATACCTTTTTCAAAACGAGTCTTCTCATCAATTTTTGCTTGACGCAATTCCGAAAGCTCTCTACGAAGCTGATCACATTGTTTTTCAAGTTTACCAGCATTCTTTTTTTCCTTTTGCAACTGCTCTACCGTCTCCAAGGTTTGCCGCAAATCCTGTTCCAAGACTTTGATTCGTTTGGCGGACGTGGATGAAACATTCACAAGCTCGCTGTAAAAAGTTCTTATGAGCGATCCTCTATCACCACGATGATTTTATAATGACTTACGTTCTCTCAAGCTTAAGTTGACTAAGTTCGCTTTCCAGCATTGCTGTTCTTGATGTATCTTCGTTGTCATCCGGACTCATTTGCTGCAAAAGCGTGTTTGCCCGCTGCTTATACTGTTGGAACTCAGTAGTAGTATGCGCCAACTGTGAGGTAGATTGCCTCAATTTCATTTCCTACAGAGGCGCGGCGTTAAATCATTCATGCTGTATACAAAAGTTTGTCTTCAAAATTTTATAGCTAAGATCCTTACCAACTCGGTTATTTTCGAACCGTATTGCCCGTCCCTCATTTTGCTTTCGGATTCCAAAGTATCCAACGTCTCTGTTACAACGTGAGTCGAAATGCACAACAAACGATGAAGACTTTATAAGCATTCTCGTACCTCCTTTGCTGTTTAGTTCCATCTCTACTTCTTCCAGTCTCTGCTGAGATGCCGCTGCTGTTTCTTCGAGAGAACTGATCTGCTCTGTTTGTTTCGCAATGGTAGCTCGGTATTCGTCAAGACTTTTACTTGCTTGAGCAAATATACCTGCATATATCTACTTAATATACTGTTTCCATCAAAAGAGTCGAGTGATGAAATCGTTACCTCGCATTCTCTTAAGCTTTTCCTCATAATCATCTGTTTTGGAGGTGTTTAGTATTGAACAAAGTGGGGTTGTTAAAGGATAAGGGCCATACTTGTTCGAATTTTGAGGGATTCTTGCACCCTATTTAACTCATCTTGTTTGCTTTTGAGTTGAGACTTCAGTTCTTGGATCTACAGGCCATTTAATGGTAAATACGATACAATATTTCCTTGATACAATGCAGTCCTACAGCAGACCTGTTCATCCTCGCGGAAATTCTTTAGCGACTCCGAGTTTCCTAGCTTAGGGGTGAGTGGCCGGCCATTATTTTGTTCGAGTTTTTTCTCTAATTCCTGAAGTTTTAGATTGGAGATTGAGCATGGTTGGCTTGTTGCGAATACCGATTATGAGTGATAAGCTTACTCTGGATTTTGACTTTAGTGTGGAATTTTCGGTTTGTAAGGTACGAATTTGCTCTTCCAGGATTGTTGTGCGATCTTCGGATTGGACTCCTTGACTAGCCTCCATGCCTTGCATTAAGTAGCTAAATGGAGATGCTATGGAGGGTTTACTGACGATGTCGGAGAACGTGGTAAGCAGGGCAAACCCATTCTGTCTGGGGGCAGTGCGAATTCAAAGTCAGACGTGCCTGAAAATGGAGTTTACAAAGCCAGGCAACAAGGCCATAGCTATTATGCCCTACGCTCATCTCCTGAAAAAAGAACTTTGGGATCGTTGATCACTATAGGATGGTATAAAACAAAGAAGTAGTCCTTTTTGATGAAAATGCTTACAGCAATCGCAAAAATAGATTATCTGGCTAAGAAAATGATACTGTAATCAGAACAACTGTACTTTTGTTTGTAATGATCATATGAATTTAGCAATTCGTTTGGAAAAAGGGATAAAAACATCGCAGAAATTTGCGTATTTATTGGCAAAAGGTGGGAAATGAGGCCAAAAACTGCAAGCCAGGAATGATTGCGTGACTGCCAATAAAGGGTAAAACACTCACATTTGCTCTTTCGCCCTTTTTTGTATGCCTCCTCAGCTTAATCTGCAATGACAAGTGCTAAACGCTCATCCTTACCAGGGCATTCAGCGATTTATGAGGAATCCAACAGAATCATATCTCCACCACCACTATATCGTTCTGATACTCCTTCTGTCGCGTCAGTATCCCCACTCATAACTCCTACAGCTTCAACTGGGTTCCCAGTGAGTGAAGAAGACTCTGTTAAAGTCACTGTTCGCTGTCGGCCACCATCTAAAACCGAGTTGGCCAAAAACTCTGAAGCATGCTGGGAAGTGGACACAACTCATAATAATATCCATTTAACGGACCTATGGGCTGCAAAGCCAGGTAAAGTCCGCAAAGACTTTCTTTATGGTATGTATATGCACCAGTTCGTTGGCAAGGCTAAAGTCAGGATTTCCCAAATAATAAAGCATATTCAATGCAGATAATGTCTTTTACGGAAGCGACAATGAACTACTATACGGAAAAAGCGTACGACCAGTTATTCAGTAAGTTATAGATACTTTCTAGTTACTCTCTTTTTTGGATCTGCGTTTAACAAAAGTATTTCTTGCAATAGATCGACAATGAGAGGATACAATGGTATTTAGAAGTAACAACAAATTGCGATTGGAGCCAATCTCTCTAAGCTCACTATATACACTCATAGGTACTGTTTTTGCGTATGGCCAAACGGCCAGTGGTAAAACATATGTAAGTAACATAGATGGAGGTAGGCCAGTAGAATCGCGCTCTCTGTCTAAAGTATCTTCATAACAGACGATGGTGAGTCAACATGAGCAGTAAAATATAGGTCTAGTATCAGTTATTGATGTAGTATGAATGACTACTTTCGAATATAGATAGGTATGTAAGCTCATCTTATCAGCTGTCGCATTTTCCAAGCTTTGAGTAGAAACTTGATAAGCTCACTCTCATTTATTATTTAAAAGGTACGGAGGACGAACCTGGAGTAGTCCCACGAGCTGTCAACGATGTTTTTGCCATCATCAGTGAGGTATACGATCTCTCCTACAGTTCAGGAATTAGGGTTGATAATGACAGATTCTCCGATCTTCGTTTATTTGTATATGCTGCAGACAACAGAGAAAGAATTTTTGTTGCGCGTCTCCTATCTTGAGATTTATAATGAGACATTGAAGGATCTTCTCGCCCCGGATTCAGATGATCTACGAATTCACGAAGACAAAAAGGTGCGGTTGGTTGGAGCTAATTTCGATTCACTCCTTTCATAGTTACTAACTTCACCTTATCTTTAGCGTGGCGTATATGTGAGCTCACTGAAAGAAGAGATTGTAACGAGCCCAAGGCATGTAATGAAGGTTATACAAAGAGGAGAAGGTAGTGTTCTTGTTAATGCGCTTTCGTAATGTTCATTCACTAATTTCAATATCTTGGTCGCTTCATTAGCGAATAGGCATGTTAGCAGTACCGATTTCAATTTGCACAGCAGCAGATCGCACACTGTGTTTCAATTGGTTGGTATCCTTGATCTATGTCGGCCACAATTTGAACGCAATGCTCATTCTCTTGATAGATTGTCGAAAGCCGTGAAAAAGAACCTGGTTCTATGCCAGGTAGTCCGACTATACAAAAACACAACTCCTTCTTACGCACTGATCAAAGACGCTCTGTGCAAGTATCGCAGCTTGTAAGAAATATAATCATTATAAACCAATGAAGTAAGGCTATCAGGCTTATTCTTTATTAGAATCTTATAGATCTAGCTGGTTCAGAGAAAGCAGCAAGTCAAACAGATCGGCGAAAAGAAGGAGCTTTCATTAATAAGAGGTAATTACGGATGCTCCATTAGCATATTCGAAACATTTATGCTCATGTTTGTGAAGTCTGCTTACGCTAGGAACCGTTATTTCGAAACTTACTGAAGACAAGGTGTAAGTAATCACCATTTTATTGAGTGCTTTGGCCTACTACTAACGTTTCGTCATTAGGTCATCCCATATACCCTATCGAGACTCCAAGCTTACTCGCATCCTACAGTCATCTTTATCTGGAAATGCACGGATTGCTGTCATATGTACGATTAGTCCAAGTCATCACAACTTGGAGGAATCACAAAACACGCTCAAGTTTGCATCTAGAGTCAAGAGAATTGTGACCGCAGCTGCCACAAATGAAGTGCGTATTTTGCAATATAACATTAATGTGTAACCTTGCTGACGTTCTGCATTGTTAGATCATAGACGACAAAGCTTTATTACAGAAGTACCGAAATGAGATCAACGATTTGCGAGTGCAACTACAGTCCAACAATGAAGTTTTTTCGCGAGAGAGGGAAACCAATATCACTTTGTTGCAGGAAAAGCAAAAGGTTAGCTCTTTGCAAAATTAGTATATGACCAATACAAATCATCAGCTAACCATACAAAAAAGCATGAAGAGCAGTTAATGGAAATGCAGCTTGTACGAACGGCTTTGAAGGAGAGGTAAGTGGGTTAGGATACTTTTGATAGATATACGAATCAAAGTGTTAATGGCGTTTGAACTATAGAATTGATCACTTGACGAAATTAATCTTGACGTCTGGATCAATATCTGCTTCAAAAGGGTCGAACGATAAGCCAGTGGTACGTATCTGCAGATGCATGGATACAATGCCTTACCTATCGCACACTAAAAAAAAATCGTGTTTGCTGAATTTTAGCCTAGTTTGTCTAATCACACAAAGTCCTCTCCTGAAGATCGGCGTGTCGAGCATAATGCTAAAGGGGAAACAGAACGTCTCAGGCGGGAAAATACTGAATTGCAGATCATCATAGACGATTTACGAGAAACTATAAGGATGCAGGCCACCAAGTTGGAACAGGAATCGAATGGCGCCTCCCAAAACCAAGATGAATCGCATGGCCAAGTTGTTGAGTTACAAGAAGTTGTTCACAGTCTGGAGCAAAATTTACAACATATAACCGATCAAAAAATGCAGTTAGAGATAACTCAAGGAGAACTCCGTGCGGAAGTTGAGCGACTCCGGGAAGCAGCGACTATGATAACGAATGAATGTAGTGTGCAAGACGAAGAATTAAGTCAGCAAGTATCTGAACCATCGTCGGCAAACGATGTAGATCATCCTAGAACGAACGAAAGTGAGATCAGCGAAAGCGAAACCCAGCAAACGGACGAAGAACTGGGAAGAGTGAAGGCACTATGTACGGCGTTAGAACAAGAGAGGGACTCATTACGGATGCGAATAAAAGAATTAGAGGATTGCATGGACCAATCTTCAAAGACGGCACTGACACACGGTAAGAGTGCGGAAATCATAGTGCTTTTGAATATCAAATTTAAGACTTGTTTCGAAATTTCAGATGTGCCGCAACAATTTGAACCGAAGCACGGTTCATCAACTAGCCTTGAAAAGCTTTCAGATACAGAAGATACCCCAGATAAAGCGGATCAACCTACCACAAGGCAGGCGAAGACTTCAGAACTGATCAACCACGATGATCCATCTACGATACCAGAAGCACCCCTGTCGCCAATGTTCACTTTAGGTAAGGCACTGATGCATTTGACGGTCGTGTTACTCCCAGATCCTAATCGTACCCTTAGGTCCGGAGATTGAATACATTGTGATTGCTCTACTACTCTCCATATTGGTCTACCTTGTTGTCGACCGAGAAGATGAAGGAATGCTGATATAAGACCCCATATTACCAAATACCTAACCAACACCAATCAAAATAATTTAAAGTAAATTAATACTGTACAATACAAGTTTTTTGCGCTATTCAAACAAATGTGGAGTGGTGGAAACTACATTTGCAAGTCCGAGGTGCAAGGAGAACAGTATTGTGGGGTTGATGATGCATCTTTACAATCAGTCTTTGAAGTATCGTGCAGCAACCTTTGTTCGAGTGTCACGGTGTTAAATAATTAGTTTTAGCGACCTAACCAAAGTAGCTCGACAGTGACAGAGCTCGTTTACAACAAATTTATGTAATGCACAAAGGTGTCTGCTCAACACATCTTTTGGGTTTGAACCGCAGCTATACATATCCGCAAGTGCTATCAAGACATGGCTCAAATAGGACTTACTGAAGCTATAGGGAAGTGTCAGGGAAAAGTGAGCGGTATTCGGGCAAAAGTTAAAATTTATTGACTGTTCTAGCAAAAGGCTTGTCGTACAAACTGCCATGCTTTCCACCACCATTTGTAAAAGGTGTTTTTTTACGAAAAAGTACCCACATAGGAAGTTAAATTTTTCGGCCGCAGCGACGAGCATGGACGAATATATCAATCTTACGTAATGAAAAAACGCAAATGTGCAAGTACGTTATATAGTTTCTTCGAAGATGTGTTTAAGGAGCCCATAACATTGCCAATACCATGTTATCAAGGAAGCTATGAAGTCAATATGAGGAACTTCAAGGGGTTAGGTTCGGGTGCTACCAAACTTCACATGACAGGTACCACGTTCAATGCCATGATGTGATGAGCGTGGGCTATTAAATGTAGTCATAACCCGAAAATCTCGCGCGATAACGGCAATAATGTCGCCGAGTATTGCTAAGATAAGGTACAAAACGTTTTTTCGAATCATTTTATAATGCAGAGTTCGCTTCTATCGCGCTAGGCAAGACGCTTGATAGCGGCTGGCTAACAAAATGTGATACTCAGAACGCCTACTCCGCTACTTTTTTGTTTTCACTCCCACCACAATGTTTACCATACCACTGACACCAAGCATTTACGTATAATTTTTTTTTCTTTTTTTCAAAAAAGTTGTATTGATGTATAAGTTGATGAGTTGTCTATTGTACGATGACGACCGACTCGAGTGTCTTTGTAATTCTAAATGTTAATGTTGTATGAAGAGTTTAAGCAGAGCCGAAGTATTCCAAAGAAGCCTTGGAGTCAGGCTTGATGGTCTTGTCACCCTTTTGCCAGCCAGCAGGGCAGACCTCACCGTGCACATCAGTGAACTGGAAAGCCTCAACGAGACGGAGAGTCTCGTCAACAGATCGGCCAACGGGCAAATCGTTGATGGTAATTTGACTGCGTAACGGGAAAACTCATTAATAATCCGTCGATCTGTTTTCTCTTAACTTCAATCCTTCCGCACAACTTACCGAACAGTACCCTTGGGGTCGATGATGAAGAGACCACGGAGAGCGATACCTTCCTCCTCGATGAGGACACCATAATCTCTGGCGATCTTCTTGGTCTTATCGGCCAAGATAGGAATTTGCATCTCACCGAGACCACCTTGCTTGCGAGGTTGGTTAACCCAAGCCAAGTGAGAGAACTCGGAGTCAGTGGAGGCAGCGATGACAGCAGTGTTCAAAGCCTTGAACTCGGCGATTCTGTCAGAGAAAGCGATGATCTCAGTGGGACAGACAAAGGTGAAGTCCATGGGGTACCAGAAGAAGACAACGTATTGACCCTATGTAGCAAGATGGTCAGTACGTGATGACGCGTAAATGGTATTATTGACTACCGAGGTCTATTGTGCTTACCTTGTAGTCGTCAAGAGAAATTTGCTTGAAGTCACCATCGACGACGGCGGTACCAGTGAACTTAGGAGCGGGATGTTGAACTTGAGCAACTGTGCATACAAGTAAGATACATTAATAATATGTACTAAGATTACAAGCAATGGAAGGCAGAGGATATCTTACCCATTATGATAGATTTAGAAAGATGTGGAAATTTTAGGAGCGGAGGGGTGGCCTTATATATGCTGAAAATCGTCGGATATTCAATTAAGGTTCGGATATGATTGGCCAGAATGTTAGTAAGCACTTGCTTCCCAATAATCCCGCTCACAATGAGCTGACGATGAATTGGCCGCCAGCCTCCCTTGCTAGGCTACAAGCAGAGTCCGAAATTGACGTTTGATTGGCAGATATCGGATAATATTGAAGTTACCGCAGCTTTCAACGTTTGACTCACCTTAGTTCTAACATGGAATTTCTTCGATTTCGGCTTCGCCAATTCGTAACTGTTTTGCATAAAGCCTTTCTTCATCGATTAGCCTCGATTCAAACTCAAGCATGTTCTATCATATCACATCGGCTTCTGCTATCGGAAAGGATAAAACATGTGATAAGGCGAAATTTGGCAGCAGATGGACACTGCATCATATAAATTATTGCAGATCATTCAGCTCTATGAGTCGTCAACTACAATTTGCTCCATTCTGTGCAATTATTATCTTCGTTCGGCGAAGCGAAAATGCATGTTTGAATTGGATCACCTAGCAACTATTACTTCAAGCGAAGAGCTTTCATTTGGAAGGAGCGTTTATAGATTGAGTTGTTGACTATTAGAGTTCATGTCAATTAATCTCGTAACTTCTATGCTAAGTTCAGCGGATTGATCATCGTGGCAAAATGTGTTCCTTATCTGATTTGGTGAGACAAGACCGAACATTCGCTCTTGGCCGTGACTGGTTTTGTCTCATTCTACCCTTTTCAATTTTTTTTTTTTTTTTTACAGACGAAAGGGCTGATCACTTATAATGGCAGGAACATTGACGACTGTAGCAGAAGCGGAAACACTGAAGAAAGGCAATCTGTTTGAAAAGGACGGAAGTACAAGCTCCTCGGAAGCAGCCTTGGTACGAGCTAAATCGAAAGAGACTGCATTTGACCAGCTTGGTTTAAGTTCCTGGCTTGTCGATGCACTTGGATCGCTTTCCATTCGCAAACCAAGTGAAATTCAAAAGGCTTGTATACCAGCTATCCTTTCTGGTAAGGATGTAATTGGTGGAGCCAAAACTGGATCCGGAAAAACAGCCGCATTTGCTTTACCTATTCTTCAGAAGCTTTCTGAAGACCCTTACGGTATATTTGCGCTCGTTCTTACACCCACAAGGTTAGTATAAGTCAGCATATTCAAGCTGTATGGTCAATGAGAAAATACTGACGGTATCATATACAGAGAGCTTGCTTTCCAAATAGCAGAACAATTTCGAGTCTTGGGAAGAGGAGTGAATATCAAGGAGACTGTCGTTGTTGGTGGATTGGATATGATGCAGCAAGCTCTTGATTTGTCTCGGCGACCACACGTCGTTATTGCCACACCAGGACGCCTCCGAGACCACATACAAAGTTCTTCTGGAGCAGTAGATTTAAAGAATATCAAGTATCTCGTGATGGATGAAGCTGATCGATTGCTTTCGGATACCTTTACGGAAGATCTCGAAGTGATATTCAACAATATACCAGAAAAGCGGCAAACACTCTTATTCACAGCCACTATGACCGACTCAATCCTTGCATTGAGCGAGGCGGAAGAAGACCCAAAGAAAAGGCCATTTTTGTACCAGTGCGATACTAGCATTCATACTGTTTCGACACTTGACCAATACTATGTATTTGTGCCATCTCATGTTCGTGAGGTCTATTTAGTTCATGTTCTTCGATCAAAGGAATATTCCGGAAAGTCGACCATAATATTTTGCGGAAGATGCAAAACAGCTGAAATGATCACAGTTATGCTCAAGGAGCTGGGCATCCGATGCACTGCTCTACACTCCGACCTGACCCAACAACAGCGTTTGGATTCTTTAGGTAGATTCAGGGCACAAGTAATTGATGTTCTTATTGCAACCGATGTTGGAAGCCGGTATGTGTGCCGTCTTCGTGTTATTTCATGGCCAGACTTTGTGTATGTAGTAACGCTAATTTTTGCATAATAGTGGTCTTGATATCCCTACTGTCGAGCTTGTGCTCAACTTTGATATCCCTCGTGATCCAACGGATTACATTCATCGTGTTGGTCGTACTGCAAGAGCTGGTAGAGGTGGTCAAGCCCTGTCTATTGTGTCAGAACATGACATACAGTTGATTCAAAATATTGAAGCCAAGACAAGTCAGTATCAAATGTAACATTAATTCTTCTTCATCCTTCTTCATTACTAACTTCTATTCTGCAGACAAGCAAATGGAGGAATATAAGGTTAACGAGAATAAGATTTTGGAGGAATTGAACGAAGTGACTACTGCTAAACGCGTTGCCAGAATGGTAAGTAAATATGCTTGAAGCAACTTTTACCGTGATAAGCCAGGCTAATCTTCTGTTATGCTATGACAGCATCTCCATGACACGAATTTCGGTGAACGAAAACAGTTAAGAAAAAATAAGAGAACTGCAGACGAGGAAGTCAAGGATCCATCAAAAGCGCAATCAAGAGGAAAAAAGAAAGTAACACGAGTGTAATTTGCACAGCTTACATAGACATACATTGTACATAAAATGAAAAACAATTTTTAAAAGACTAAATTAGGTTGTTACATGTTCAGTATGAAAGATTGACAGATCGTCCTTTATGTCTAGGGAATATCGGTATCAATGCTGCTGCAAATAGGCCGATGGCTATTGCGACAGAGGTGACTACCATTTGCAAGGCAAGCGAGCCTCCATCGTCACTCTCTTGCATAAGAAGGTAAACACCCTTCACACCGATATTTCCAGCGGTCAACAAGCCCATCGCCGAACAAAGTGGAACTAGAGCCAGCTCTCCGGTTATGCGATAGTATATTCTACCGAATAAGCCTATCGCAAAAGCCCCTATTGTTGCAACGATTTGTGAATCAGATACAACTTTGCCAACGAAGTATGTGACACCCATCCCAAAGCATGAGCACGCTATAATGGCCGGCCATTGACGTGCAGTAGCACCGCTGGTCATACCGCTTGTGATGGCTACTATGGGATAAAGGGGTATGTAGAACCATTCGGAAACAGGATAGCTGCAGCTGGCAAAATCTGATGGCAACGCGGGGTCCACGGAGGAGTATAATGCACTACCGACCTCAAGACCATATCCGACTAAGAGAGCGTATAGTAACGAATATCCGAATCGGATGGTGCCGGTTATCATATGTTGTGCCGAAAATTCCATCTGGCAAGAGTCACGTTAGAAATCGATGATATGGAATAACATCAAATAAAAAATTGTTTCCGCTACACCCCGTCACTTTAACTATATGGTTACTTACAATGCTTATCGTCAGATTGTATCCTGGAAGTAACATCACAATTGAAGATAGTACGACCCCGGTGAAGCATATATATGCGCTGAGTGCGCGAACGGTAAAGCCTATTGTTATGCAGATTGAGACTGCTACCATGTTGTTAAATATGGCGTACTTCTCGGCAACGGTAATAACTACACCAACGAGTAGGCCCAGTCCACCACTCACGAGGCCATCGGTCCAAGACCCTTGAAACATTACGGGTGCAGCAACTAAACTGGATAATGCATAGGCCATCAGCATCGACCAAGACCCCCATGTAGGAGGACTCAATTTGATGTCGTGCAGTTGATCCAATGCGGTTCTAACGTCGATTGTTGATCTTTGCGTCGAAATCGCGGTTTTGAAAACCTTGGCTAATTTTCCCATATCGAAACCCTCGTTGCACTTTACCAGTAGTGTTTCAACGGCGTGGTTTTCTATATCACTGAAGCATATCAGTGATAATCCAGGTAGAAATACAATTGTCATTTCCACTTCAAGATATTCTGCGGTCATCTGTAGACATTCCTCCTGGAGAACGGACAAGAAATCTGAGTATCAAGATCATTGAAGCTGTTCAATACCGGAAATGTAAGTCACTTACAATTCGATGACTGGCAGCGCCATATCGCATAAGCGCTTTGGTAAGTCGAATGAGCAGCAGCTTTCGCTGACCTGTACTCTTAGAAGACTTGAGGCTTGATGGATTACAGCTTCCGAAAACCAAAGTCTGGCTACTGTCGCTTCCTTGTGATGTGGAATCACACTCTGCATATTGTGGCTTCTGGTTTTGATCATCGTCTACACCGTCAAGTTTCAATTCAAGCGTAAGTTCCCTCGCGCTCCAGATGCTGGTTACACTTTTTCGTTGGTGACTGGCGCCTTGCTTTGCTACTTCACGAAGCAAGTTTTTCATATTTTCAGACAGTTTAAGGTCCAAAAAATTTCGAAGCCTTCGTAGGGTGTAATCATTTGATTGCGTAGACGAATACATAAGTTCATCAACGTCTTCACCGATCTCTCTATACTCGTCTGCTTTCTCTATATCCCGGGAGGACTCGTACTGTGTATGTGATGGTATTGGAAAGCTAACTCGTAAAGGAAGTTGAATTTTTGAAGCAGCCTCGTCCGCTGCAACTTCTATTGCGATTTGAGACCAGCGTTGCGATATATCCTGTGTGGCTTCATGCATAACGGACTTCATAACGGTCGTGGACTGAAAATGTAAAGAAAAAGCAGGGTATTAGTTACGCCAATATTTTTTTTTTTAAATGAGGTACCGTATAATGTAGGTATGATCTGAACCAGTGTGACTAACAATGGGAGGTCTTTCCGAAATGTTCCCCTTGTTATCTAGGTACAATTTGAATTTTGACAGGGTTGACAGACTTCCAGGCAATAGTAACATTCAACTTCCTCATCGATGTTCTCTTTCTTTTCAATTTTTTTTTTTTCTTTTTAGCGTAAAGCGAAAAGTACTTGTATGCCAGATACTTTTAAGCATATTGTACAACTTTTTTAAAAAAATGGTTTGTTTACCACTTCTGCTTATATATCTGTCGAATAAATCCACTTCTAGGTACATGATGTGTCAATAAACTTTGATAAGGAACACTTTTTGAGATCATTTCAAAAAAACGGTATGGACGTAGTACCTTAAATTTCAATCTTACAACGAGAAAAGATACATGACGTTTCATCATGATATGTACATCTTTTACAGGGTCCATTTGCTTGGTATATTCCTTACGAAAACGATTATATGGTTTCTGGCGCAACAAATTGCCACTGCACGTTACGTGGCTAGATTTGCAAAATCTGCTGGAGGTGCAAGAGATTCGCTCAATAAATTCCACTTTTTCACATATTCGCTATCTGACATCTTGGAAGGCAATATTATATTACTCCCATATGGATTGAAAGTTCATTTGTCATCGATTGTACGAGTTGTCTGTAAAATGCACACCATTGAAATTAGCGTGCAAATCTTAGTGAGTCGTCACCTATCTAGAGTCGTATATCAGCTGCCAGGCAGTTACACGACCAGAACAGATCTAGTCAGCAATTCAATTAGCTTCACTCCCAATAGAAGCGCCTTGGAGAAAACTTGGCATGGTAGAATTTATAGTAGCCATGGCGGGCAATCCGTCGCTTGGCGCACTAACGAACAAATTTAACTACGTAGACAGAAAGATATATGCTAGCACCAATTGGCAGTTTACAGCTACGCTACTACAATCATCACCGCTTCCTATCCCATGTAGAAACCAAAAGGGCGCATTCAATTTGGCTATGACAATTTTGTTAGCTGTGTTACGCAGTAAGTTATAGGCTGGTTGTCATCATAACGGGGTACGGTCAACGATTGCGCTGTCAGCTAAAGGAGTTGCTCACACGATGACACTAAAAGTGCTTAATGGGAGGTAACGATTTAATCCACTAATGCGGTATATAAATAACAAACACTTTACATTTATTGTACGAAACATCTAAGCTACCATCCAGGGGAAATATTATCTTCGTATAAATTCAATTTTGCTTCCACATATCTATTTCTTGGCTTTTCCTTCTAAGAAATCCTTTGCCTCATTAATCTTACTGGCGAGGTATGGAGAACCACCGCGATCTGGATGGTTTGCCAACATGATTCGTCGATGAGCTTCTTTTAATTTAGTTTTTTGTATGTTAGATTCCCTATAATTCATCAGTTAGTAATTATGTAAGGCCATCTTCAGCTGTGGTTTCAGAAATGCACTAACCGAAGTCCAAGGATAAGAGCGGCTTCGCGCTTATTCATCTTGGGGTCGAAACCACCTTTGTAGTACTTGGAAAGACGAGGCATGACAGGAGCCTTTGGTCGCTTTTGGTATTCTTGAAATGCCTTTACGCCTAATCGAGCAGCAGTTGCGGCACCAGCCACTGCAAAACCAATAACTATCGGCGTTGACTAAATGTTATGTTAGCAAGGAATTTGAGCCAATTTACGACTTGAAATGCTGCCGTACCATTTATAATTCTTGGATAGAAGGATACTTTGTTAAGTGGGAAACGAAATTTACTTTTTTTTGTTTGCAGCGCTTTGCCACAGTCGGCCTGACAGTCACAGTAGGCATTCGACCCCCCAGAAACCTCGTATGCGAAGGAGAACAACTTCCAATATTTGACATTGGCCTGTAACTAATAAATACTAACAAATATTACTGCTGAAGCAATATGGTCAGAAAACTTCTATAAGTTTAGATTTTTCGCCTTTATGTTGCCGTCCGGAGAAGTATGACATTGCCGGAACCTACTTATTGTGAACGCTTTTACTGATCAAGAAGGGGCAGATATTAGGACTCTTCATTGAATCAAAAGTAGTTTAAATAATAAAAGAATCAGGCGAATCAGTACTGGAAGGCAGCTATTTTCAAGGTATTGTACATAGCAAGATTGAGAGACCATCGAGCCCCATCCTGAGGACCTCCAGAAATTTAAACTCAGTCACAGTTGCTTTAGGGCAACGACGATTGAACCAGTGTTCGATCTCTTTTCTCTTGAAAATCCATCAGAGGTGCGTAGTAAATGAATCCATCTGTATATGATGCGAATAGATGGATGGATTGTCAGGATAGAGATGGATTGATTACGGCTGCTTCGACAAAATGTTGGCTCATTGCCAATCCTCTGAATGTAGCGCTACACAATTCGAATTGGTCTGCGAATGGAAAAATTCAACCACCAATTATATAGCAATCGAAAATGCAGCCGTACGAAAATCACTCGAGCTATCGCATTACATACAAGAAATATCAAATTGAGCAACCATTCCGTTCCATTGACCAATTTGCTGATGCTTCCTTTCTTCTCACAGGTCATTGCCATGGTGAGATACGCTGCTACACCCTCCAACCCCTCCAAGTGTAAGTTTTTCGACTGAAATTACACTAGCGACGATCAGCCATTGACTTTTTACTTCTACATTAGCTGCTTTGTCAAGAGGCTCTTACCTCCGTGTTCACGTAAGTATACGCATTGAGCGCCACAGATATATACCATATCGACATGGATGACTGACTGTATATCTATCATTAGTTCAAGAACACCCATGAGGTCGCTGTTGCCGTCACTGGTATGAAGCTCTCCAAGGCTCTCACCTACCTTGGTGATGTCCAGGAGCACAAGCAGGCCATTCCTTTCCGCCGTTTCAACGGTGGTGTTGGCCGCACTGCTCAAGCCAAGCCTTTCAAGACCACCCAGGCCCGTTGGCCCGTCAAGTCTTGCAAGTTCGTTGTCGATCTCCTTAAGAACGCCGAAAGCAATGCTGAGGTACGCTGTGGAAATGGTTCGCGGCTGATTTTGATTTCTTAACAATGTACTAACTTTTATCTATATTATTAGGCTAAGGGTTTGAGCGTCGAGGACTTGTACGTTGCCAACATTGTTGTCAACCAGGCTCCCAAGCAGCGCCGCAGAACCTTCCGTGCTCACGGTCGTATCAACCCCTACCTTTCTCACCCATGCCACATTGAAGTCGTTCTTTCCGAGAAGGGAGAGACTGTTCAAAAGGAGGACGGTAAGAAGGTTGCCAAGCTTAACGCTCGTCAGCTTGCCCGTCAATCTCGTATCAAGGCTTAGATATTTGACTGACATGGTACCTCTCACCTATATTGCTTGCAAATAAATTCAATCTGGGCATATTTGCTATTTCATTTCAGTTATGGGTGCAAAATTGTATTCGTGCGTGAAAAGGCAGTCACTTGCTCATTGAACTACTACCTAAACGCATTTTTTTAATATTTTAAAAAAATAAGGTCATTCGACATTCTATAATCATATACAATGGCGCCTACTAACACACCATCAATACAACTTGCTAACATATGGACAGCTGCTGGTAAGCTTGGTGCAATAGGAAGCAGACATCGCAGCATTTGTGACTTACTAGACTCTTTGTAGGGGATGGACAGCTGGATAGAGTCAAGGTATAGATAGCTCTGAGCGGATTGTGCCACACAAACACTATGCAATGCATCTAAACTATCAATCAGGAACTTGTGGAATCCGGAATCGATACAAATTGTCATGATGATTTCGGCTATACCCCATTGTAAGATATATTTCGTATGAATGCGGCTCAATTTGAGCGCTTATCTTAACCAGGTAGTTTTCAAACAGACACGCGGCTGCGTCCTACGGCCATTTGGACGTCATAGAATATCTGGTTTCACAAGGAGGCAATATCGATATTGAGGACTTTGATGGCGACACTCCCCTCTTTGTTGTGGAATCACCAGAAGCTGCCAAATTTTTGATTGAAAAGGGTGCTGATGCATCTCACCGTAACCATGAAGGAACAACACCTGCTATCAATGCCGCCTCGGAAGGATGGAGAGAGGTTGCCGAAGAAATCGCAAAGGTCACAGGAGAGACCTTAGCTGAAGAAGAGGAAGAAGATGAATTGGCTCATGTCGCAGTGGGCGATGATGAGGACGATGGCGCATTTTTGCGTCAAGTTGAACAGGTTATTCAGCAAACAGAACAAGACGGACTGAACAGAGATGAACAGTTGCGCGGTTTAGTATCACAAATGGTTATGCGTCAAATTCAAGAAGACAGCAAAAAATAGATAAACTACTTCCGCAACTACATTTGGTCAGGCATCGAACAATAAAACATCGTATCTAATGGATTGAGCTTTCTGTCACTATTTCGATTTTTTTTAGCCTCACATTGAGGATAAGACTATGAGCGACTGCTTAATCAAGGCTCACATCATAATTGAATAAGCCACTTATACTTCAACCTGGCGTACTGCAGGGATGTGAAGTTCAAGATCGCTAAATTATTCTGAAATACGTGATGTCTTGCGTAATACGAACCGTTCAAAACGCTGAGGATTATGTTTTCGTGTCGTTTTTTTTTTTTGGCATTTTCCTTACGAAATATTCGATGATGCGTTTGTTATGAGTGCACGGTACGAATTGATGTTATTGAGGACAACGGTGCATTATTCACTAATTCGCGACATGAGAGTTATTATAAAGGCGTACTTTGCTGCCTATAGTCTCTGCAAAATATCTTTGGAAAAACATGTTTAAACAGTGCTGAAGTCTGAGCTCAAGATCATCGAAAGTTTGTACACTTAACTGCATGCGGCCACCAGTTTAGTTGGCAGGCTTGCATCAGCATAAATATCCACTTTACCAATGGATTGAGGTTTATTCCCATGTGCATTCTTAAAGGTCCAGTGATAATCAATTTTCATGAGGTGTTATCTTTTTACTCATGTACTGTATATTACCCGGTATCTTCAAGGTTTTAAAAGCTTGTTTTTGAGGTGCAGCCATGGCTCTCCGTTCTGATGTGTTTTAAAACTGTTTCAAAACATTTGTGACTGTACCGATTAGTAGAAAGTCTGAGTTGACTTCAACACTGCCTGGTATTCCTATACATAACATGGACAAGTATCAGGTTAGTAGATCATGTCTATAATCTATACCATGGATCACCCGTACTCATCAACCTTTGACAACGTTTGTTTAGAAAATTGAAAAGCTTGGAGAAGGTAAAATGTCGTCGCAGTGCATGCCTCGCACACAATTTCAACGAATGTTGATTCTTCGTAATTTTTTGAAGTCTTGTGTTCTAACCCAACTATGTACAGGTACATACGGAATTGTCTACAAAGCCCAGAACAGAGAGACAAACGAAGTAGTTGCCTTGAAACGAATTCGGTTAGACAATGAAGAAGAAGGGGTAATGAACACATCTAGATCCAAACGCCCAAGTCCATATATACAGCTCTTTAACCATTTCACAGGTTCCATGTACAGCTATTCGCGAAATCTCTTTGCTGAAGGAATTGAAGCATCCAAATATCGTCAGGTAAATGAGCTACAAAGTGATCAATGTATCCTTCATCGATTACTGATCCATGGGACTTGTTCCAGACTTTATGATGTTTTACACACGGAAAAGAAGTTGACACTAGTTTTTGAATACCTGGACTCTGATTTGAAAAAGTTTTTGGATTCTTATGGCGGAGACATTGACACTTTGACGATAAAGGTAATGCAACGATTTTATCGCACATATGGAACGGTGCGTTATAAGCGTTACTAACTCTCGTGTGTTGTCTTCATCAGCAATTTATGTATCAGCTTTTGAAAGGAATCGCTTTTTGTCATGAGCATCGAGTATTACATAGGGTACAGTTTCGCGCGCAATCTGTTTCGTTTTGGAATTGATTCTCATCTGTCACTCTCAATAGGATCTCAAGCCGCAGAATCTTTTAATTAATAAGGTAAGACATACCATGCCCGTATGCTCGTTGAAAGCGACGTAATTGCTTACAAATTTGCGTGATCGTTTTCAGAAAGGAGACTTAAAACTAGGTGATTTTGGCCTTGCTCGCGCATTTGGAATTCCTGTTCGAAATTATTCCCATGAGGTTTGTTGATGAGGCAACTTGATGTCCATTTCACAAGATACTGAATCATAGTTTAGGTCGTCACATTATGGTACAGAGCTCCAGATGTGTTGATGGGCTCTAGACAGTACTCTACTTCTATTGATCTCTGGTCCGCTGGCTGCATCTTTGCTGAATTGGCGTCAGGGCGACCTTTGTTTCCTGGAAGTTCTATACCAGATCAGCTGCAAAGAATTTTCAAATATCCTTTTTGTCGTCATCAGCGTTCCAATGTTATATTTTGTTCTATCTAACCACACGAAAATCTTGACCGCATTGAACAGTTTTAGGTACACCTACGGAAGAAACTTGGCCAAAGGTTTCTCAGCTTCCAGAATACAAAGTAAGTCTTCGTGTCAAAATTTGTCATATCGGTTCCTGCGAATTAAAGGGTTTGCTTTCAGCGTGATTTTGAAATCTTTGGTCGGATATCTTTAGAATCGCTTCTACCAAAGCTCGATTCGTTGGGTATAGATCTGTTGAAGGTATTGTTTGACATTGAGCTGTCTCACTACGTACTTCTCATGTACCTAACGACCGTCCGTTTCAGCGATTAATTGAGTATGTGCCAGAAAAAAGATTGAGCGCAAATGAAGCGCTGCGCCGTAAGTACACGTAAAATGAATTGGATTCGTAAAGGCACTATGAACTAATGAGCATATCTAGACCCGTACTTTGACGATTTGCGAAAGAGAGAGCAGTCGCTCGATTAAATGTCCGGAACAATGATCGCATACGACTACAGAGCCTCATTTATATTTTCATCTTATCGCTATCTTCACTCACCATTGTCATTGCGCTTCTTATAAAATCATAGGTGCCTCTACTCCCAATGTAATATCGCATTATGACCCACACCTTTTTTCTTTAACTACACTCAAACATTTGCCAATTACCAATTACATGAGCGTTTCGTAATAGAAAACTCGTCTATTATCAATCATGGAAAAAAAAAATGCTGGCTGTGTATCATTGTAGTGCGTCTAAGGTCTAGGAGGATGACGTGGTTCAAAAACTTGACAGCATCCATGTCCATGAGAGATTGTCGTGAAGTGAATGATACTGTATATACTGTACATGCTGATATTGCAATTCTATCTATGCACCATTGAGTTTTGTCTCCTTGACTTGTGGTATGCCCTCTGGTTGTGATTCTGCTTTTCGCTTGACGGGTCCCACAGATTTCTCCTCGCCTCCCTTTGGTTCGGAGCTGGCATTGTGACCACCACGTCCACCACGTCCACCGCGACCACCGCGACCACCGCGTTGACCTCGGCCACGACCTCTTCCTCGCCCCCGAGAATTTCCGCCGTCTACCTTTGCTAGCTTTGCATCTTTCTTATCAAAGAAAAGCCTGGTTTCCTCGTCTAAATACAAGTCATATTGAGTATGTAGTCAATGCCAACGCTTGTTAACACAAATCGAATGAGCAAGTTTACCTGTTGGAATAGCAAACTCGAGGTTGTGCTCACCGCCACTGAATTCTTGAATAAACTCATCGGCAGTCTTGTTGCGAATTTGTATAACACCAACGCCATCACCAATAAAGTCGATCCAACCAACACAATCAGCGCCAAATGATTCCTAAACCACATGTGAGAAGACTGATCTCTAATTGCCAGATGCTGGTGCCGTGTACAAACCTTGACTTTCCCTATGGACTTGCCAGCAGCATTGGAAAACTTGACCAATCTGTTCGACTTTTGTTTGGTTCTATCTTCCCAAACCTTCTTAGCCCAGTCTTCGTCTTTGTGTTCCTCAAACTTCTTCACAACATATTTTCGCCTGAAAGTAAGGTATTTGCCCCTAAGTTAGTAAACAGCCCGCTTCCATTGATATTATAACTCATACTCATATCAACCTACTTGGGCATTATTTCCAGTATGTTGTTGTTATCGAACGTCAAACTTTGGGCACACACTTCTTCAACCTTGTCAGATGCTTCAAATTCGACAAAGGCACTTCCCTTTAAAGCAACATAGTATGAGCTTGTTGAAAGCAGCAGGCTGGCACGTAAATCCGAGACCAACACTTACCTTGAATTTCTTTTCGTCATCTTTTCTCATCTTTATGGATTTCACGTTACCATACTGTTCAAAAAATCGATGGATATCCTTTTCGAGAGACTCAATGCTGTGGTCACCTTCATAGCCTTCTTCATCTGGATTGGGGAATCCTTTCTGTGAAATTCATGAGTGAACAGCCCTTCAATTTACAATGTCCATCAATGTTTCAACTTACGACGTAGATCGATTTGTCCAGCTTTGGATCCTTCAAAGCCAAAACAAGTGCTCTGGATTGCCCAGCTACAGGTGCCAAGCCAGCAATTGGTACATCGGCAGCAGCTTGAATTTGATCTCTTGGAGCTTTTCTAAGTTTGGTGTCATCATCGTTCAGCTGTAAAATTGAAGAAGTCTTGATGGCCTCGATCAGAACAGAGGCATCCCCTGAGGTTAGAGTTTTGACTTTCTTGAAGCTGTTAACTTTTTTCAAAGTGACCCCTGAGTAAAGCAAAGCATTGGTAAGTCGCCAGGCTGGCAATATTGAGCAGATCCAGTTTCGGGCAATGACTTACATCCTTCAGGCGACTGCTCGACCAGTTCCTTCATAAACTGGTCTTTGGAGAGATTGGTGTCGCTAAAGATCGTCTCCACCGTTTCGCGAATTTGTTGCTGAAGTTCGGTTCCAACGGAAGCCTGCTCTTGCGTGGAGCCGGATTCACCGGGTGGAGTAAGGATCTTCTCCGTAGATTCGATGGTATTCGCGGCCAACATTTTCGAGGACTTTGAGAACAAACTAGGGCCTATAAGCTTCTCTTTCTTACAGCCTAGACGCAACTTTTTTTTTTTTTTTGGTGTTTGCTATGTCAAAGCGGGGTTCAACAAAAAAAGTGACTTCGGTTCTTCAGCAACATGAACGTTGCAACCACGGCATTGGGCATGAGCCGGCTGGCGAGGCCAATTAGCGTCGCTCCAATGATAGACGTGACCAATCCCGTAAGATTTAAGGCCATAATGGCACTAGAATACCGGGCGTCCTTCTAACTAAGGACCTTTAAACAGCACTTCCTGCAAATGCTTCGGATTATATCACCTAGGTACTCCTTATATACCGAAATGATACACTCTAATGCTATCATAAACCATCGAGAAGACATATCAAGGTTTGCTGGCGTTGCACATGAAGATACGGTAGTCCAATTAGGCGGCTGCGACCCAGGCAACATGGCTCTTGCAGCCAAAATTGTGCAAGACCATGGCTTTAAGGAGGTGAACATTAACGTCGGTTGTCCAAGTGATAGAGTCCAGCATGGTAACTTTGGAGCTGTGCTGATGAAGACTCCTCATGTTGTGGCAAATATTCTAAACGAAATGGAAAAGACATCGGTTCAGATCCCTGTTACCATCAAATGTCGAACCGGAGTGGATGATCTGGATTCGATAGAATTTTTACACAACTTTGTGAGTATATTAACAGTGGCTACAAAGTTTTAAAATTCATCGATCAAACATGTGTAGTTAACAATTCTTGACAGATTGAAGTACAACTATCCTGTTCAAGACCTCCTCCTCACATTATTATTCATGCCCGAAAATGCCATTTGCGAGGTTTGTCCCCTCGGCAAAATCGGAATATACCCCCTTTAGACTATAATAGAGTTTGGCAAACTGCCAAAAAATATCCACAAGCTGTATTTTCTATCAATGGTGGATTCAGAACGACAGAAGCAGTGATAGAAGCTATGTCAAAAATACACGGTTGTATGGTCGGACGTGAAGGTACGTGCAGCTACCACTTGAATCTAGTATTCCACTTTCCTGATGCTAATACTATTCTCTCTCCAGTGATGGACAACCCGATGTTCCTTCAACAACTCGACAGAGGTCAGCTGTTTTCCATCGATGTTTAATTGAAATATGTTAAATTAATTGAAGCTGATGATGATATTACCCAGATGTTTACAAGATCCCAGAGGTGCAACTACAATCTTCTGCCAGCATTATAGACAATTATTTATGTAAGTCTAATGTCTCTGTCGTGCTCATACCAAAATTTATGCAGTTGTTAATAGCTTATTCAATGAAAAGCATATGTGAACGATTTTCTTTCTACCAAGACGCATGGAGCACACCGACCATCTATAGCCATCATGGCGAAACCGGTGATGATGCTCTATCAAGGCGGACAAGGGAGAAGATTTCGTCGTGCATTGGGAGAAGAAATGATATTAGAGCGAAAAAACAGCAAGGATTCGGCAGTATGGAATCTGGATCGTGTTGTCTATCGCGCTATGGAGCAAGTCAATCTTAACCAAGAAGATGTTGAGCCACAGTACCAGCGTGCAAGTCTATGAAATAACACCAAAGTCTATTGGCAATTGTATTTAATTTTTTCGAGAAAAGTGATTGATTTATGGTATTGTACATAGTTTTTTCTAAGCAAAATAGAATTGTGGTCGTATTTTGCTTTGTCTCTAATGGGTAAGGTACTTGCGACCTTTCAACTGGCGTCGTTGCAACACTCGTCGTCCATTCTTCTTGGTAATACGAGCCAAGAAACCATGTCGGCGCTTTCTGACAAGGTTTGAGGGCTGATATGTGTTTCCGTAAGTGACAAAACGGCATTGGGAAAGAATTGGCGAGGACATGGGATTTAATCGGCTAAAGAGAGATTCTATTGTTAACATTTTGCTCGTCTCATTGAGTGATTGCTCACAAACGACAAGAAAGTCAAGTACCTGAACATCGAAGGTGCTGATGGTGCAATACCGGTGCTGGTGCCGGCACGAGCAACTGAGGTGCGAAATGCTGAGAAAACAGTGGACAGAAGTGACATGTTGGCAAGTTGAAGTTGTGAAATGCTAACAGCTTTCAGATTTTTTTTGTTTTCATGTCCCCCTCACTTTTTCAAAATTCCTAAAATGTTTCATAGAAAATACAAAATTTTCAATCTCATCCCTCTGCCGTGTACCTGATTACTTACGGCAAAGAAAGCTCTTTGATCTTGACCAGTTGACTACAGCTAGCCATTGTTAACGTTTTCTACGTAATTGTGCCCTTTTGTTTTTGGTATTGAATAATGATAATAAACCGAGATATGTTAATAAATTCAGTCGTGTATTGTAAAAGAAAAAAAAACTTTTTAGACTATCGCTGGCGTTAATAACCTCTATGGATTCATGTACAGTGTGGATATTTCTCTATTCTACTCCTTGGTAGTGAAAGGATCTTTGCCTTCACCACTGTTGGCAATTAGTTCTCGAGGCATTGCCTGCAAATCGGCATCTTTGACAGTTGGGAAAGGTGGTGGCAATGTGTCACTAGGGAATCGCTTAGCACCATGCTTTTTGACAGCATCCTTGATCTTGACGAACTGGTCATCAAAACCAGGAACGCAACCCTTGACATAAACAAGGTTAAGCTCAGTATCAATCTTTAGAACCTTGAGACTTTGGACAGTCACGCTCTTGCCACCCATGCGACCAGCCATCTTCTTGCCCTTAAAAACTTTGCTTGGCCACTGAAATTTTATCGATTAGCACCGTTCACATATTTGGAACCCATGAATAAATTCAATGTACCTTTCGCTGACCAGTGGAACCAGCAGATCTATGCGCCAAAGAAACACCATGGGAAGCTGGAAGACCGGCAAAGTTCCATCGTTTCATGACACCAGCAAATCCTTTACCAATTCTGCAAGCGGCCAAGTTAGAGCGAGTCAATGACTGGGCAACCATGAATATTACTCTAACAGTACGGTGAACTTACGAGGGTGCGGTCACATCAACATATTGACCAGGAACAAAATGGGCAGCGTTCAATATGGTACCCACTGGCAACAAGGCATCGTCCGTAACTCGGAATTCAGCTACGGACTGCTTTGGTTCGACATTAAGTTTGGAATAGTGGATGGCCACGGGCTTGGTGACATTCTTCTTGTTGGTACATCCGACCTGCAGGGCTGTATATCCGTGTTTCTCCTCTGTTCGAACATCAAGAACTTGAACATCTTCGAGCTACATGATAATTGGCAATATTGATTAGTCACTGGTAGGTATATTTATGTGACTCGAAGGTTATTTTACAGTACCTGGAGAATAGTTGTAGGCATTCTAGCACCCCATTCGTCCCAGAATGTAGACATTCCCTTCTTTCTTGCAATGACACCAACTCTTTGTGACTGAGGGGTCCATGCGGGCTGCTGATCAGCAGTGGAAGCAGCTTGTCGAGCAGTGACACTGCTATGAAAACATGCTGAAATTATTGGTCGAGAGCTTCTGGTCGCTACAGCCGAGGTGATGCTGGGGAGCAACTTTGTGAGGGAATTCATTGCAATGAGAGGGCCAATGTTGCTGTTTTCTGGAGAAGTAAAAAATTTGGGAGATTTGCCAAAAAATATGGCACACGTGACCTCGACCATTGCCAACGATTAATTGACCACGATATGAAAAAGACGCTTAAGAAAAAAAGCATGAGGCTATTTGTATCCACTTAACACAGGTTAAATGACTATCAGAGATAGGCAAAATATCGAAATATGGCCAACGAAGAGAGGAAAATAAACGCTGACAAAAAAGAGTTGACCATGATAAAGAAGTGTACAGGTCGGTATATATGTAGCCATACATAGCCCATTTCAAATTATTATCTGCAAAAGATGAAATATGCTATTAATTTAAAGACTGTGTATACTTTATAGTGCAGATGCCAAAAGATATGGCTGTAGGAAAGATACAACTTTGAAAACGAGAGAACAATAAATCACGTGACAGGTGCGATTTCACGGATTTCAAAAGACCTTCCTAGCCCTCTGCGAGATAAACCCTTCTTTTTACGTGAATCGATGTCTCGGTGCGTACAAATAATATGATGGCTACTATTGCAATGAATTGCTCCGTGGTACTGCTCGTATGGATAGATGGATGACTGTATGGATGGATGGATGACTCAACCCTCGCCACTTTTCGACTGATGAACGAACAGTAACTTTTTGAAAAGCTCCATTTCGACATTCTGCTTATCAACTCAATTGCCAGCCATCGCAACACTCTCCTACCAAGTAGACCTTACACAAGGTTGACTGGTTTGCCATCCCCTCTTTCGAATTACAGTAGCTTCCTCTGGCTTACTGGCATCTTAATCCATACCTCAGCAAATCTTTCCATACTTGTCAACCCGGACGATGCATTGACTTACTTGAACTCACTCACTAACGCTGTATGTCTTTTTCTGTTATAGTCTTTACAGCAAGGGCCGTGTTTTGGGTTACGAGCGCGCCAAGCGCAACCAGAACGAGAACACTTCTCTTATCCAAATTGAGGGTGTCCAAACT